ATATGTTGAGAGAACATGAAGACATGATACTTTCATGGACAATAACTTCTTTATCATGTTGATGTTTGCAACAATGTTTCATGGCTACTTCTGGTCCCTCAATCAGGTGAACACTGCGACCATGGCAAGTACTGATATGTCTATACATTGTCTGATATACAGCTTTTTGCCCTATTTGCTTGACACGGCATTTAGTATGGAATCTTAGATAAGTCCCTGTATGTTCTGGTTAGTTCTATAACAGTCACTTATGGTCTGCCTCAACGTTACCACACCTTGTACCAGGTTACAATTACTTGACTCAAAATATACTGAACGTTTAAGATGGGCCTCCTTACCTTTGTTGACCTGTGAAGATCCGGGATAGAATAGGTCTTCAGCAACCCATGCTTGCCGTAAAAGGCAACTATGCTTGTAAGAGGTGACTAACAGGATCGGGTGGTCAGGTTCGCTGGCTTGGTTGATGCATGTCATCCATCCCAATTGCGTGGATCGATGCTCATGATATCAATCACTGGATTGTCTGGCCCAGACTCGATTATATACAAACCGCCGTCATATAGCTGGAACATTGCTGACTGCGGCATTAAATAACAAACCAACCAACCAACCTCAGCTTTCTTAAAATATGCCCCTACTACATGTCACTTGGAATGTGTCATGTTTTTCTATCATATCACCTATCATATTACAACCTTTCTAAATAATGTGATACATATGATCCCATCATGACCCAATGTATCACTACTACCTCAGTCCTGCATTTCATGAATAACATCCCGCCAACACCAATAACCTGGGTCAAACACAGAATGATCACAAAACTCACTAACCAGCAGTAGATGTCACAGTTTCACTCGCAAGCTGTTTACAGGTGGTGTCACATGGCCTGAATTACCACACAAAATCTCTGATAATATTAAACCTGCATGATCATAATTTCATAAATCTCTAATGATAGACACTTTATCAGATATATGCTGGCAGCAGTGTTTCATATTTCCCGGTCTTGGACCTCTGACGAAAAAAAACAACTTCCAATTTTAGCAATATCAGTCCGCCGACATCATATTTCTAATACCTGGCACATCTTTTTCACAGGTATTTGGTCACCTTACCTATAGGTATCCAAGTCAATGTGGATTTCTGCTGACAGCATTCTTCACAACCTTATCAATTAGGAATGAATATAATATTGCAACATTTCTTGAAGGCTCCATAATGTAAGCAAGACTACCACAGTTGCTTCCCCTTACTATGATAATCACCTCACAGTTGCAAACAAAATCAACCACATAACTAGACACAAGAAAAATGAAACTAGTAATAGTATACATATGAAATATGTAAACCTTTTATGCAGTTGACAATTGACTATATATATTAAGACATTTCACAATGACATTTTCCATACCACCCAACAATTTTCACTCTAAACACAGATCTATTATAAACACTCATTAATGATTCTGTCTACTGCTTCAAATGAAGAAAAGCCAGTACTTTTGCTGAAAAGACTACAAAACCAGCTATACATACAAGACAGAAAGGTTTAGGATGGACTTAGAATCAAGACAGTACCACAAAGGACATATTACAACCTTGATCCAGTACATCATGAGGAGTACAATGAACTGTCTACACAATAATAGCATTCATTCCAAATGATTCCCTGACATTAATCCAAATTACCAAAATGATTAAAAAGATATTCCACATTATGCACCAAGAAATGGAGAGCCTCTGCATGCCATATAACAACTAATCATGCCCTGTAATTGGATCACTTGCATCGTCTATGATTTTCCTGACCTTTTGAGCAAGAAAAACCAGATCTTTTTGTATTATGTAATTTGCAACTTACACTAGATAATTCAAGTTGCAAAAAGCACAATTCGAGTTGCAGCTAATGTCAAACAAGGTATATTGTCTCTGCACTGAGAGGGTTGAGAGTGAGACAGCTTCATGGGTATACACTGATTGAGTATAGGATCAAGGGTAGGCCTGAGGGAAAACTGCCTGCATAAACCCAGAAACACCTCTTTAAACTGCCAGGGAAGGGACACAATGTCCTCAACAACATATCCTAAACTAACTTTGTGTTCTTTGTGAATTTAATTCCTGTGAGACTTGTAAATGTAACCAACCAAAAATTAACCTCAATGATAATAATTTCAATGACAGTGATAATAAAAGTGTATTCAAACTAGGAAGTTCATGAAAAAATCATGATAACTGTTCCTCTTATTATTACCCCCCTCCCACCCAAAGACACTGAAGTCACTAATGTAATAATTCAATCTTTAATAATAGTAAAATAAATCAAATCAATTAACGATTGAATTATTACATTACTGAAAATGGGTGTTCTTATTCATCTTGACACTGATGAATCAATTACTCATGAATGTCTTAAAATTGTTCTTAAGGGTAGAAATCATGTTCTTGAATGAAAACTGAACATGTTGATTGAAAAACTGTATCATGAAATGAAAGGTACACCAAATTAGAACAAGTGACAGACCATAGCATAAAATTCATCATATGTGTAGCCCTACCTCAGAAATAATAAAATCATTGGACAACTCAAGGAAACAGAAAGACAGCAAATTAAATACATTCACATGTCATATAAAGCTTTTCAACAACTTAGTATCATGTCACTTCAGCAAGATGAAAGCACACATTATGGAATGAGGTTCTCTTGTATTTGTTTTGACTATACTGTACATATTTGTAAGGGAAATGAGAGTCACACATTTTACCCTTGTGGGGAATTGAACCTGGGCTGCCTTCAGTGCTAGATGGATGTTTAACCAAAAGGCTACCCCAACAGTCCAAGTATGCTTTGACCTTCCCAGGATATGTATGTACATGAATCTTCATAGAAAGGTTCTTATACTAAACACAATGTAGTAAACACTTTCAATATATGATCATTATGATCATTCAAGTAAACATGTGTTCCTTTTCCTTATATACATGTGATGTAAGACTTGTATAGCGACATGATTCCAGACTTACCCAAACCTTGAATCACTATTGTCATAATATATTAATAGGCTAATACATAAGTAATACTGCAGCAGACTGCCAGGTAAGACATAACAGTATGAAAGGAGTACTGACAGATAAAGCTGTATAGGTATACTCTGGTAATCTGATTTAGCAGTTTTCAGGTTTTGCCTAATATACGGTTATTCTATGTATACAAATAATGTGATAATGCTATTTGCCAGGAGAGGGACAACAGTGTTAGAAATTGGCACTGGTCCTATAGTCCTTGCCAAACTGCTCAATGGTGAAGGTATCATAAGGACTAGTTGAAATTTGCCATTTTAAAGGGGTTTGCTATGTGTTATCATTATTAGGGCTAGTGGACAAAAGCTGTTAGTTTCTAATCCTGGACAAGCTTACTAAATTAAAGGAAATGTTTAAAAAATGTAACTAACACCTTCTGCTGCCCATATCCAATGATGCCAATGGCATGTGACAAAGTGTTTTAAAGGAAAATACAGAGCTCTGTTCATGCTGATAGGCCTGTGTTGCTTATATAATTCTCTATGTCCATTTATTAAAATTATGTTCAGTGGTAAGGCTTTAGTTCTGTTAAGTCCATATAATATTAATTAAGAAAATATCTTATATTTAAACGAATGAATTAAGCAAGAGACCTTTGTATCATAACCCTTACATTAAAAGTTAAACATTTAGGGGTCAGTAGATTCAATACCATAGAAACCTTAAGGACCGAACGACCCTATTTATTTCGAAAACTGCATGTGGATAGAAACATATCAATAGCAGCTCCAGCAGAAAAAGTCTGATATTTTGTGTATTTTATGTTGAAGGATATTGTATTCTGCTTGACTGTAATAATTATTATTTTTGCATGATTCCTGACTCAGAAACACAATAGATATTGCGTAAATACTTTGTGTTTGTTTCACGCTTGTGATACCCTCCATTCAAGGGAAGAGATAAGCTTATGAAAAGTACACATGTACATGAGGACGTAATTTGCAAGCTGCCATATTTGTGTCACCCCGGTAAACTAGCAGTGAGCATGGTCACAATTCATTAATCATTGGTAATAATTAAGCAATCTAAAATACCCCCCAGGGTTACTATGAAGTGGAGTGTTTGAAACAGTTTGTTGATGTCTGTCACATGACTGGCAAGACTGCAAGTACAAAAGCCGAAACAATAAACCGATGCCACGTAAATATGAAAGAATGGCAAAATATCCTTGAACCATGACTGAGTTTTCATTCAGTTTCCAAAACAATCTTGAATCCAAACATGTTACAAAGCATGATTTTTTGAACTTGTAACGTATGTCAATATTTGTACAAGGTTATTTTCGCATGACATAAGATGCATCTGAGGTGTGTCACAACCATCATGTTGTACAAAAAATTACTCCAAGATTCTCATCAACTTACTCCAAGGTTAATGCTGTAGGCAGTTATATGAAAACTGATTAGGTCCTATCTGAGGGTTACCAGAAATTACAAGGCTATACACGTGCTGAAAAATCAATGACAGATCAGTATACAAGTGATAATGCTATGCAAATGAAACATATTCCATCGCGGATGGTCATCCCATGAAGTATTCACCATATTCAGTCTCAACGTAATGAATCTACCTACATCACAAATACTTATATGGTAAAAACAGTGCCACTGTCTAGGTCTTATAAATGACATCAAAAGCATGACTTTCATTTTACAAATATGCCGGTATAACCCCATGAAGATTCTTCAGCAATTCTGGAATGTTCCGGTCTCATGCAAGCGGAACACTGTCTCTGTACGCCATGAAAGGTTGATTCAATAAATTACTTCACCTTTGATTAGATCAACTGCATTATTGTGCATTATAAATTACAGATCTTGCCTCCAACCATCGATAGCACAGTGATATGTTCAGTGGGGAGGATGTGACCATAGAGCAGCGTGTCTTTGACTCAAGTGGCCTTCTCAATTATTTCTCACCTTTGAAACGTAGTTCACCAGCTGGCTCAAGAATCAACACTTGTTCATTTTTAGCCATTTCAGAGTATCCTCTCCGCTATAATCGCAGATATTGTAAATTAATTTCCACGACTAAAGCATCTGCTCGACTCACTCTCTGTTAGCGTGGACTGCGCATGCGCAATTCATTCTTGTCTGAGTAATATTAGTATAAAAGTTAGGCAGGAAATTCCATCCGATTTGGGATGCATACAAAACTTGCTTACATATCAAAACTTTATCAAAGTTGTTAAAACTTCGTTACAAATTTTATTTATCTACTATAGCATTATTCTGTAAATGGCCATGTTTATATTACAAATGTCAACCAATCATTAGTGTACCTTTTTCAAACGTTATTACTAAAAGTGGAAATCGGAAGTAAACACGAGCATGAGCCTGGTGATCGAGTAAACAGTAGCTGGGGTATCATCGTGGTAATCAAGGATGGCTGATGACATAGATGATTTATTAGATGAGGTCGAAACTAAATACTGTACACGCGGAAAATCTACAACGGGATCCCACAAAAGAATAACTACCAATAAACCCAGGAACAGGTGCGCGATTTCACTTTACCGATGATAGTGGATATCTATGTCAAAAATATTTCAACAGAAAACACAAAGTAGATTGAACCGGTATCAACTTGTATAATATATATACATCGATCAATTAAGAATTTTTTTATTTTGATTAGACATAGATATTGTATTTTAGAGATCCATAGCCATGCCAATATGATGCAGAATCTATATCCAACATCAGATATTTTGAAAGAAGATTGATAAAATACTTCATCTGCTAGAATATTGTTGGGGTAATTTGTTGTTTAACGCCGCACTTACCAATATTGCATCTACAAATCGGAGGTCTGTAAATAATTGAATCTGGACCAGCCAATCCAGTGCTTAACCCATGAAGATAGGGGTTGAGTAGGACCCAAGTACCCGCTGGACTACCCAGACCTGTGGTTAGTCATGAGATATATTGTTAAATAACCAAAACTCACTTTAACTGTGATTACACTACAAGTCATTAATGAATAAAGATAAAGCTTCGGTCAACTTCAATGTATGTGTGACCAACATGACCAAAGCGTATTATACATGTATCTAAATACTTTTTCTCCGAGGCAAGTGTGTCCACTATCCCATATCAAAGCCTATAGTTTCTACGCTTGCCACATCAAGGCCACTTTTCTTGGCTCGACCCTGTTGCCACCTCGCGTATATAACGAGCTGTCATCTGAAATTTGTTTATATGATCCTTGCTCACAAAGCGCTTACTTTTGACACCCATGAAGATTCCGGGGTAGAATAGGTCTTCAGCAACCCATGCTTGCCGTAAAAGGTGACTCTGCTTGTCGTAAAAGGTGACTAACGGGATCGGGTGGTCAGGCTCGCTGACTTGGTTGATGCATGTCATCAATCCTGGTTCAGACTCGATTATTTACAGGCCGCCGTCATATAGCTGGAATATTGCTGAGTGTGGCATTAAACAACAAACCAACCAACCAATCTTACTTTTGAAATAGTTGAAGGACATATGTCTAACCTTTCAGTATATGTATGTTTTACTGTTGACAGAGCCAAATTAGATGATGACATTGATGACATTCTCAAAGATGATGACGACATTCCACAGGTAACAAATTTGATCTGTTCAGCGTGTTCCTATGTGATGGAATATTGTTTGTAAGAACAAAATGAGACACTGTTGGTGAAACATCTTTTTCAAAGTACGGTCCTAGTCATGTGAAAAGTGGAAAATAGTCTGAAAGGCACAATTTGTTTATCATTGTTTATTCTGCCAAATGCAAACTCAGATGTTCACCATGAAAAGAATGTGTATACTGAAAGACTTAACAGAACACTGTTTTCAGACAATAAGTTAACAATTTAAGAATTAACAATCTTCAAAGTGTTGTATCATGTTATTTATGTGTAAGGCTTAACAAAATAAAAGATTTGGTTCTCAGGCAAGGACTTTTGCAGGCGGGTGGTGTTTCTTTGTGAGTTTTTTGGCTTGTTCGAATTAGTATGTAACCAAATATACCTGTAGTTGTGTACCATCAACCTGGGAAAGGGCCTCCCTACATAAACAAGCACACAAACTCCTATTGCCACCATGACCATAACACAAGATGCGCAGTAAAGCAGTGCACATGTAAAGGGAAGTAAATAAGTGCTAAAGTGGATCGCATTTTTTTAAAGTATTAGGATTGTGTTATTTTTTGGGAAAATGGAAATAAAAACAAACCGTGCAGCAGATTTTATGATGATGCGGGCAGGGCCTGAGAACCAAGACTATTATGTTTTTAGCCCAATATAATGTCATGTAAACATGGTAAATGTACATTCACTTTGGAACTATTTTAGAAATAGATATTGTTTGTAGACTTTCCTGGGAGCCTTTTAGGGATCAAGGGAGGAGTTGGTCCCCAGGAGCAATGCTTGCCATACAAGCCAACGTAGGATGATGAATGAGCTGTTCGAGTCACTGGTTTACCTGATCCAGACTCAGCTGCTGGGATAAGCTAGAATATTGATATCTGTGACTGTGACAACATTTACTCACTCACTCTTTAGAAGTTTTTGGAAGACATTTAAAGATTTTGTTTCTATTGAACTGAATAGTTCGAGCTGTATAGCTGTGCCCCTAGTCTGTCATACAGACCCTGATACAAATATATCCAATACAGCCAATGCAAGTCTATAAAGTTTGGCGAGTCTAGATTACTGCAGTATCAGGAAATCTGAAATCCGTATCTTAAAATGAAGAGAGTCTCTGGGCTCCTTTTTAATATATTTTTATTAAGATAATTTAACAACTGTTTTTTTCTGTAAGATATGTTCATTTCAGAGACTAGATGTTAGTCTACTGTGCCCAAAATGTTTGCGTTTAGTAGCATAAACTTGACTCTTAGCATCATAAGTAGCACATTTTAGGATTATATTGGTGATTTTATTAGCTGAGCTTCCAAGACCGAAATGTTTTTTACTAGACTGAGGGTTCGGACTAGTGGCTTATGTTGCAGACTGTATGTATATATTATACAATCATCATCAGGAAAGTGTAAGCTGAAACACAGTAATCAACACTTAGCGTCACACAGTATAGTAAGATGGATGCCTTATTTTGCAGCTGAAGCATCTCGATATAGGCAGTAAGACCTCAGCAGATGGTGAAGCCAACCAGCGGTCACAATCTTCTCGAAAGTAAGTATGTGAGCTGGTCACAAACAACCTCATTAATATCCAGACTTATAATGTGTTATGTGATGTAGAAATATAATCTTTTAAAATTCTATACACCTCTTATGCATATAAATAATATTACATGTTGTTTCTGAAGTGACAAATATTATATCTTGAAAACTGATCTTGCTCTCAGTTAATGAAATTATGCAGTGTACTCTTGAGTAATTATGGATGCTCATGGAACCAGCATGACATACAGGTCAAGGTTATCTAAAAAGACCTCATCTCAATACTCCTGTTATTCTGTAACAATCATGTTCAGGTAATTAACACGGCAGCTGGGCCATTATATTTCATGGTTTCCTGACCATTAAATATTTCCCTTTGAAAGAACAAGACCTGATAAGATAACAGCAGTATTAGTTCCTTGGTTGCGAATTGCTTGCATAATCAACCCAGGAAGTGGACCAGACACAATCCAGGTGTGGCATGGTGGACTGGGCCATGTGACAGGAAGTGACGGGTGTGAAGAAATACTTTCAAGTTTTAGTGTGGGGAAATACTTTTTTGGATACTAGAATGTAAAAATAGTGATGAAATAGTATATCTGAATATGTAAAGAAGACTGCTGTTCACCTCCAGTGGACATGGTTGATGATTATGCCCTACACCCCCCTAGCCCCCCAGCCCCCCAGTCTCCCAGCCCCCCTCAAGACGATAAGCTGTTCCATTGTTTATCCCTGTATCTTGTATACCCAACAAGAAGTCAACTGTAAAGGAAAACATCACAGTCACTGCACAAATTCATGTATTATTTGTAAACATTAATGTTGACAAAGTAAATTATATATATTTCATATTCGCACTGTTGTGACTGGAGCCTGTATCAATAGTATATGATTTGTAAATAATAATTTTATTAACCTTAATGACATGAAATAGTAATCAGGGGACAAATTAAATATTTTTACATTTTTCAGATGAGGCTTGCATTTCGCTTGATATTGATATTATCATTATGACTATGAGATGTCATTTGATTCCAAAATGGTTGGGGGGCACAGGTGGCCCAGTCGTCTAAGGCGCCGCGATTCGCTGTGCAGAGTTGCGTCCCTTGGACACGCCAGAAACCTATGATTGTGGGTTCTTCGAATCCCAGGTTCGCCCCGATTATGTTTCTAGGTTTGTCAGCACCATACCCGTGCTCGTGGGTTTCACCTAGATGAGACCTGCATAATTTCCGGCTTTCCTCCCACATTAAGCTGACACACTACAATATAACTGGAATAGTGTTAAAAGCGGTGTTAGATCCAACTCACTCACTCACTCCATTATGGATGCAGCAGGATAGAATTACACTGTTCAAAATCTTATAAAAATGCCAGGGAAAGTTAGAGTAACAAGACTGTTATCAACTATTAATCTGAGCCCCAGGGATATGATACGTCCCCCTATCACCCATGAATGAATACAACTGCTTTTCTGTGTACAGTCAAGTCTTGTTAATCCGACACTCGGCTTTATGCGACACAAATGATGGGAACCGATTGATTCAGTGCTATTTAGTCCCGTTAATCCGACATTCTCGCACTCCGACTCCGACACACCTAATTTCCAACGAATTACCGAAATCACTCATTAATCAGTCTCGTTAATCTGACACAGTGGTCAGCGTACTCCGTGGTCATCTGCCCGCGAGTACACAACCCCATGTTTTGACACGCACTGGCTGCAGAGATTAACTTAACAATTAACCGGAAAAGCTATTCAAACCTGTATGTACAAAGCTATACAAATGTAGTTTACAAATTGAAGCCAGATAAATGTGCATGAAGCCAGTTTAAAATACGAACAGGTATATAAAACATGGTCGACTCACCATGGTCGACTGGTATGTAAACAAGAAAGCATGGATGACTTCATTAATATTCAAAGCCTGGCTACTGATCTTGGATCGGCAAATGCGATTTGAGCGACACCACGTGGTATTGCTGTTGGACAATGCCCCATCCCATGCCACTGTCGACACCATATAAACTAAGGAAGGAATGAATAAACAACATAACAATATAAATATTTCGTTTTTAATGATTTTATTACAAGGTACACAGGGTTTTTATCTATCGTGAAGACGTCCGATTTTCGATTACAAATCACTTAATTTCGTTAATCCGACATACTTGTTAATCCGGCACAATCATGTGCAACCAATGATGTCGGATTAACGAGACTTCACTGTAGTTGCTGTTTTCAAGCAATGAATCAAACTATGGCCTCATTCCGGTGTTAGGTAAACCAGCTACTTATCAGACCAATGAGATCAAGTGAGAAATCAGGTCTACCGGAAGCACTCGATAAATCTCCAACATCATCAACCAGTCAGCACTGAAAATACATCAGCAATATTTCTCATGCAGTCATCTTATTCGTTTGTTTGTTTAACGCCGCACTCAGCAATATTACAGCTATATGACAGCGGTCTGTAAATAATCAAGTTTGGACCAGACAATCCGGTGATTGACATCATGAGCATCGATTCACACAATTGGGATACGATGACATGCATCAACCAAGTCAGCGAGCCTGACTACCCGATCCTGTTAGTCGCCTCTTACAACAAGCATAGTCGCCTTTTACGGCAAGTATGAGTTGCTGAAGACCTATTCTACCCCGGATCTTCATGGGTCGCAACCATCTAATCTACTGTAACATCGCCCCTAGAGATTCTGAGTTAGAATGGATCCCCAGGAACATATGCTGGTCAGAAGAGGCGATCAGGTGGTCAGATATGACTTGTTTGACAGCATGTCCTTTTACCCTGACAACGTAGATTATTGCTCGTTATATCGATCACAGGATTGTCTGGTCCAGATTTGATTATTTACCGGCTCTCATCATGTAGCTGGAATATTGTTGAGCGCAGTGTTAAACAACAGACAAACAAACCAACAATAAACCTGAACTAATCAATATCTGTCGATCATTGGGGTCACACAAAGTTTATGCATGGAGCAAGGTCATGTGACATCTGTGAGTTATTTCATTAGCTGTCTAAACATAGACATGAGTCACTATTACACGGCATAGCAGCCATCTGTATTCATGGGTGTTGGAGGAATGTAGTGTATACATACCCAAGTACTGTGTATTGACTAGAGGTGCACGATATTACCGGTATACCGGGATATGAAATACCAATGAATACGTACCTAAAAACGTTTGGAAAAAAACAATATATTGCTTTTTCAAATCATGCATATCAATTTGTTGGAAGATTTTATACAAGTGTCAAGTCAAAATAATTAAATTTTCATTGTGTTCATTGAATTTCCTGCATTCTGATTAGCTGAATTGGTGAAGTGTAATTGCATTCATTTCCCAATGAATGTAAAAAATTAAGCCACACCCACCGAGGCAGACTACTTTTATTACTACGGAATGTGAGGGAATCCAGGGAATGCCCTTTCTGCTCAAGTGTATCGTCATGCACAGGACATTTAGTGACATTCATGCATATTCATGGTCCAAACAACACCTTGAGACCGAAGGCCGAGAAGAATGAAACAGCAAACGTGCAGGCTCGCTCGCCCCTTTTTCCCCTCTCACCTCAGTTCCACAACTTTAACCTCTTTGGGTTTCATTTCTAATTAGCATTTTGCCAACTGTGTCTTCCCGTTCTCAGGGAACTTATGTTTGAATCTGTCGGTAACTGACCATGTCATTTGAAACAGGCCGCCTTCTCCCGGACATATTTGTTCCGGTTTGTTACAGTCTGACTGTTACAGTTCTTCTTGCCTCTTGCCTTGATTTATAAGGATCATTATTTGCCGGTCCAGAGGGACTGGCAGTCACCTGAATTACTAGTCCAAGCCTTAATTTTACCGGTAAAAAACTGTTAACTACTGGTAAACGGGAACACTGTAGCATCAAACCTTACACCTCACTCATTTAACCGTTGGATCATGCCTGTTTCACATGATGCACTTCAAAATAAGATTTCTACTCTTTATGACTTGACATTTATAATTTTCAGATGCTTTCCAGTATATTTAGGTGGAAGTTCTTGTGCTTTGGGCTCAGCCTCAAGTGTAAATAAACGGTAAGTGATTTTTCCTGAAGGGTCTGGCTGTCTGATATTTTACCTAATCTTATTAAGATCACACCACTCCTATACGATACTTCTCTGCATGAAGTTCTGACAACTCTTCCATAAAAGGTCACATCAGATGAACCATGAAACTTTGATAGTCCAATCTAAATGAAGGATGCATGGGTTCTTGAACCAATCAGAAGACAGCTTTCTAAAACAGTTGGGCTTCATTTCTTTACCAATTTGATTTGGAAATTTTGATTTTAACAAAAGAAAACCCACATGCTTATGGAGGTGTCAGCCAATTAAAGATGTCACGGTCAGGAACTACTTTGACATTGCAAATTCTCAATGAACACAGATACGTTTAGTGTCAAGTCATCCATGAACACAGACATGTTTGGTATCAAGTTCTCAATGAACACAGACATGTTTGGTATCAAGTTCTCAATGAACACAGACATGTTTGGTATCAAGTTCTCAATGAACACAGACATGTTTGGTATCAAGTTCTCTGTAAACACAGACATGTTTGGTGTCAAGTTCTCTGTAAACACAGACTTGTTTAGTGTCAAGTTCTCTGTAAACACAGTCTTGTTTAGTGTCAAGTTCTCTGTAAACACAGACTTGTTTAGTGTCAAGTTCTCTGTAAACACAGACATGTTTAGTGTCAAGTTCTCTGTTTCAGGGCTTGTGACAAGCTAAGGTGTACGTCATGTGACTTCCGTGTGTCACAGTTTGACAACTTTGAATGGCTTACAAGTACAGACTATCTGTTTCTCAGGAACAATGTACCAGATTTTGATAAACTGAAATCTAAGCTTAAAGCTCGTAAAGGTAAGCATTTTGTAATTTGTGATAATTAGTGCCCTGGGAAGTTAGAAATTCACAAAATGGGTTGCTTTTGATTGTTTCAGGCATCAGAACATACTGACTGTCGTTTTGTTGTTTCAGGCATCAGAACATACTGACTGTTGTTTGTTGTGTCAGGCATCAGAACATACTGACTGTCGTTTTGTTGTGTCAGGCATCAGAGCATACTGACAGTTGTTTGTTGTGTCAGGCATCAGAACATACTGACTGTCGTTTTGTTGTGTCAGGCATCAGAACATACTGACTGTTGTTTGTTGTGTCAGGCATCAGAACATACTGACTGTCGTTTTGTTGTGTCAGGCATCAGAACATACTGACAGTTGTTTTGTTGTGTCAGGCATCAGAACATACTGACTGTTGTTTGTTGTGTCAGGCATCAGAACATACTGACTGTCGTTTTGTTGTGTCAGGCATCAGAACATACTGACTGTTGTTTGTTGTGTCAGGCATCAGAACATACTGACTGTCGTTTTGTTGTGTCAGGCATCAGAACATACTGACAGTTGTTTTGTTGTGTCAGGCATCAGAACATACTGACTGTTGTTTGTTGTGTCAGGCATCAGAACATACTGACTGTCGTTTTGTTGTGTCAGGCATCAGAACATACTGACTGTTGTTTGTTGTGTCAGGCATCAGAACATACTGACTTTCGTTTTGTTGTGTCAGGCATCAGAACATACTGACTTTCGTTTTGTTGTGTCAGGCATCAGAACATACTGACTGTCGTTTTGTTGTGTCAGGCATCAGAACATACTGACTGTCGTTTTGTTGTGTCAGGCATCAGAACATACTGACTGTTGTTTGTTGTGTCAGGCATCAGAACATACTGACTTTCGTTTTGTTGTGTCAGGCATCAGAACATACTGACTTTCGTTTTGTTGTGTCAGGCATCAGAACATACTGACTGTCGTTTTGTTGTGTCAGGCATCAGAACATACTGACTGTCGTTTTGTTGTGTCAGGCATCAGAACATACTGACTGTTGTTTTGTTGTGTCAGGCATCAGAACATACTGACAGTTGTTTGTTGTGTCAGGCATCAGAACATACTGACTGTTGTTTGTTGTGTCAGGCATCAGAGCATACTGACTGTTGTTTGTTGTGTCAGGCATCAGAACATACTGACTGTTGTTTGTTGTGTCAGGCATCAGAACATACTGACTGTTGTTTGTTGTGTCAGGCATCAGAACATACTGACTGTTGTTTGTTGTTTCAGGCATCAGAACATACTGACTGTTGTTTGTTGTGTCAGGCATCAGAACATACTGACTGTTGTTTGTTGTTTCAGGCATCAGAACATACTGACTGTTGTTTGTTGTGTCAGGCATCAGAACATACTGACTGTTGTTTGTTGTTTCAGGCATGAGAGCATACTGACTGTTGTTTGTTGTTTCGGGCATGAGAGCATACTGACAGTTGTTTGTTGTTTCAGGCATGAGAGCATACTGACAGTTGTTTTGTTGTGTCAGGCATCAGAACATACTGACTGTTGTATTGTTGTGTCAGGCATCAGAACATACTGACTGTTGTTTGTTGTTTCAGGCATCAGAACATACTGACTGTTGTTTGTTGTGTCAGGCATCAGAACATACTGACTGTTGTTTGTTGTTTCGGGCATGAGAGCATACTGACTGTTGTTTGTTGTTTCGGGCATGAGAGCATACTGACAGTTGTTTGTTGTTTCAGGCATGAGAGCATACTGACAGTTGTTTTGTTGTGTCAGGCATCAGAACATACTGACTGTTGTATTGTTGTGTCAGGCATCAGAACATACTGACTGTCGTTTTGTTGTTTCAGGCATCAGAACATACTGACTGTTGTTTGTTGTGTCAGGCATCAGAACATACTGACTGTTGTTTTGTTGTGTCAGGCATCAGAACATACTGACTGTTGTATTGTTGTGTCAGGCATCAGAACATACTGACTGTTGTTTTGTTGTGTCAGGCATCAGAACATACTGACTGTTGTATTGTTGTGTCAGGCATCAGAACATACTGACTGTTGTTTGTTGTGTCAGGCATCAGAACATACTGACTGTTGTATTGTTGTGTCAGGCATCAGAACATACTGACTGTTGTTTATTGTGTCAGGCATCAGAACATACTGACTGTTGTTTGTTGTTTCGGGCATGAGAGCATACTGACAGTTGTTTGTTGTTTCAGGCATGAGAGCATATTGACAGTTGTTTTGTTGTGTCAGGCATCAGAACATACTGACTGTTGTATTGTTGTGTCAGGCATCAGAACATACTGACTGTTGTATTGTTGTGTTAGGCATCAGAACATACTGACTGTTGTATTGTTGTGTCAGGCATCAGAACATACTGACTGTTGTTTTGTTGTGTCAGGCATCAGAACATACTGACTGTCGTTTTGTTGTGTCAGGCATCAGAACATACTGACTGTCGTTTTGTTGTGTCAGGCATCAGAGCATACTGACTGTTGTTTGTTGTGTCAGGCATCAGAACATACTGACTGTTGTATTGTTGTGTCAGGCATCAGAACATACTGACTGTTGTTTTGTTGTGTCAGGCATCAGAACATACTGACTGTTGTTTTGTTGTGTCAGGCATCAGAACATACTGACAGTTGTTTTGTTGTTTCGGGCATGAGAGCATACTGACAGTTGTTTGTTGTTTCAGGCATGAGAGCATACTGACAGTTGTTTTGTTGTTTGGGGCATGAGAGCATACTGACAGTTGTTTGTTGTTTCAGGCATGAGAGCATACTGACAGTTGTTTTGTTGTTTCAGGCATGAGGGCGTACTGTTGCCAGTGTTGCTGGAGGTCTGTTCAGGATCTTGGGGAGTTGAAAGACCCCAAGTTGAAGTGGGTGTGTGGCAAGCATTGACGCAGACCAGGCTCTAGATGACAGATTCCAGATCATTCCGTCCCATTGGCCACCATGATACAACCATCACCAACCATTTCTTCTGGAATTGTTTGATATACGTTTCTCAGACGTTGACGCATGACCAGATAGACACAATATATGGATAACAACTTCTTTATTATACGGTTATAGTGACATTCAGTATCTTCTTGCTGCTTGACAACAGTATAAAGACCTATACCCAAACGTTCTATAACAGTATATTGAAGTTGTTTTCCATAAATTGTGTCTACTTTGTTATTTCTTCATGACTATAGCATCACTGAGGCAGTTTTTCATGAACACTGAATAGTGACTTCAAGAAACTTTATCTTTTGTTCGTGAAATCTTGACTGTAGCCAATTTCAGAGGTTGTGGACTATTATAATAATAATAATAAGTGCTTTTATAATGCGCCAGATTCCATTCACCAAGTGGATGCTCATAGCGCTACACTATTATTACCCCGGTCAAAGGATCAATGAGCACTCAATTTTCATTCCCAGTTTCCTGGGGAGTATACAACCCAAGCTTTTGTGAAAATGCGCTTCTTGACAAGGCAAAATTATTTTATTTTACGGTCCTTAGGCCAATGTGATACTGTATTGCTTGCATTAAACCAAGCACCAGATTGGTTTATGCATATATATGTATACAGTAAACTATGGTTAGAACGAACCCAAAGGGATCACTACTTATCCCCCCGGCATATAATGCGGGGGTATATAGCGATCAGCCAGTCTGTCTTTCCGTTTGTCTGTCCGTCCGTAATCATTTCCTTTTCCGGGGCAGAACTCAAAAATAATTCAGTGTATTTGATCGAAACTTGGCATATCTATCAGTCACATACTGAAGTTGTGCCTTTTGCTATTTAGGAATATTATAAATTTTCATTTTTCACGTTTCCATGGTAACAAGTTGGACTTAGGTTCTATAAGGGTGGTGTTCGTTTCCGGAGCGTAACTCAAAAACCATTAAATACTTTCTTACAAAACTTTGCATGTCTACCAGGCACATACTGAACTGGTGCCTTTTGCTATTTAGGAATACTATAAATTTTTATTTTTTATGTTTCCATGGTAACAAGTTGGATTGAAGTTTTCATATAGGGTGGGTTCACTTATGGAGTATAACAAATAAACTGTTAAATATTTCCTTGCCAAACATTGCATAGCCATATATAAAGTACATACTGAACAGGTGCCATTTGATATTAAGGAGTTTTAGAAATGTTCATTTTAGAATTTCCATTGCAGCTATTTTGACATGGCCTAAGAAAAATGTTGGGTCAGTTACCTGGTTTGGGACCATAACATGTTAAAATGGGTGGGGGATATAGATGACTTCGTTGACTATACGCTTGTTTCTTGTAATTTGTCATTTGTTTGCATAAAAAAAACCCACAGAAACACACGTTTTACTTTCATATGGATGCGACCATGGTGGATCTTTTGTTGGTAAACAATGTATGTTTCCTCAAGAACTTCTCTTGACTCATTACATACAGAATTGCACATTTACTTGTGGTTACTTTACAGACAGCTGACGGGGGGATATTTCATCTTTCTGATGACTCTTGTTTTAGTTTGTTATAACCATAGTTTATTATAAGCATGTGTACAGCATATATATACATATGGCCGGGACTCCCCCCCCCAATTTGTTATATCTGTCAGTTTGTTATAAGTGTGTTTGTAATAAACGTAGTTTACTGTATATAGATAGATAGAAATATATATATATATATATATATATATATATATATATATATATATATATATATACCGTATATATTCTATTATGTTTGATGTTCATGGAAATGTTTCTGTGGAGACGTAGATGTATATCTTGAGGTGATCAATTCAAGAGAAGTTCTGGTCACATTTGTAATAAGAATTTTCATTAAGTTTGAAAGGCTGGACATAAAATTGTTTATATTGTTCCATAATTCAGGTATGCATGTTACAATGATATTCCGGTATGTTAAAGACATCAATTCACCAATTTGAATTCCTGCTACGTAAGTGTGTACCTTGTCCTGTGTCATCATCACAAACACTGTTTTTGAGAGAGTCTTTTGTGTGTTAGCAATGTGTGTGTGGTGAGCTTCAGTTTGTTTGTTTGTTTGTGTCCCAATAAGGTTTTCGTTCAAATTTATTGCCATTTAATAGCTGGAGGCGTTACCATGGTGTCACACAATAAGATATGATGAAACGGAAGTTCAAGCTTATTTCTGGTTCCTCCTGCTGTGATATTGCTAGAATACTGCGAAAAGTGGCATAAATACATACTTACTCACTCCCTGCCGTGTCCATGAATTTGAGGTATGAAAACAAAGATATTACATTGACCAGTCAAAAGTAACTTTTCTGAAAATATATACCGGTACTCAAGTTGTTACAGGAATATAGTTGTAATGTTTACTTCATGAATGCTCATGGCCAGTAGCTATGGCTAGAGATGATGAATGTTCTATTTATCTCAAATAAGTGTTAGGAAAACGGCATTACCATATTTGCCATAATAAGTGCAAAAGGCTCTTCCATAATTGACAAAAGGGGACACATACCGGTACTAAAACTGTACACAGCGAGATAAATTTGTTCTCAAGAGATTGAATGTTAGTGAACAACGATAATTGATGAAAATAAACCTTTTTCAATTATAGTAACTAGACGATTATGTACCCCAACTGCTCTGTTGATGTCTATGAAAAAATGTGTAATATACAAAAGAAAATATGGGGTGTTATTGTAAATTTTCAGTCTTAGTAGGGACCTCTTGGAAACGTCTTTTTACAGAATGTTAGTGAGGGTTCGCTTAAATTGGTCATTACGGTACTTGTATTTCTTTGTCAGATTCACCTTATTCTTTGTCAGTCCTTTGTGTTCCATGTGAGTTGAAATGGACTTTAATTGCATGGTCAAGATCATTTAACTTGTATTGCAATCTGCCATGTGTGTGTGTAGGTGTATGGATGCTTGTACTAGTCCGGAATTAGGCTGTTTTTACAGTGCTAGGCCACCAAGACACCATGCCACAATATAACATGGATAACTAGGACACGTTATAGCTAAAATGGATAGAATTATCATTAAACCGCCCACATGTTATCAGAAATGAGCGGGCCACTGTCACTTGAAAATGCCCTCATATATTGCTTGACGACGGGCTGTTATCACACCTGTTGTTAGGTGACGTCATAGGATAGGGATCGGTGACGTCACGTTGAATAGTGATGTCATCTGTTTTGTTCTATGACGTTTCCATATTTGTAAAAGTGGGTCAGTGACAATCGTGTTGATTGCAGTACATATTTCAAAACCGATATTGTTGTTTCTTCTTATTTGATAACAACTTCCATCTATTTAAGCAATAATAACGGTAACGCTATTTTTCAGGGCATTATCATTTGCAGAATCCCTCGGTGTTTTCAACTTCCCTCCTTCATCGGGCAGTTTATGGAAGACCTCAGGCCTCTGCAAATGATAATGCCCTGAAAAATAGTGTTACTCTTCTAGTATACGGACTCCAACCATTCCTTGTTTTATCCACGTAAAGCCGAGTGCAAGGCAGTGTTACAACAAGTAACATCTTTTCACATCTTTTGGTGTGACACGGCCAGGAATCGATCCACCGACCTGCTCTTCGGGCAGATGTTTGTTGTGTGAATTGTCTAAAGTTGATTAGGCTGTCACAGTATGTGATTGTGTGTCTTTGTATACATAGTCCTTGAGTGTTACTCATACAGGCATATGTTTGCCTTGCAAAGATTTGATCCTTAAAATGCCACCCTTGTATAGATGGAATATTGCCAACTGTGGCATAAAACAGCATTCTCTCATTTGTCTGTTTGTCAATACTACTTTGACCTCAAGGTCAAACAGGGTCCACTTGCACAAAGCCATCTTAGTGCTACAATCCTTAAGATCACGATCTTAGGCTTCGGCTACAATCTAAAAGCCGCCTTACAATCGCGTTAAGATCGGTTTGGGCTAGTGGAATAGGACAATTGTATGGTGATTGTAAAGTTGATTGTAGCCGCCTAAGATCGATTGTAACTAAGATTGTTCTGTGCAAGTGGACCCAGGTGTGTGGATGGATGGAGTGCTTTGAATGTGATTATATATGATTATTGTCAATAGAGTGATGGTAATCTCTGTAAACTCATCTCACTTTTTATCTTGGGTTAAACATATTACCAATTTTATTTTTTTGGATATTTTTTTCATTCTGAATTATGGATACATGAGGTCACTTTCCATTCAGCTTCTATAAGAATAGCCATTACAACTGAACATGTTGTCATATAGTTTGTACTTGACAGCTTACATGGCATGAAAAATGTGTGATGCTACATACATTTAACAATCTATTCACTGTGTGTTAACCATATGCAATGGCATTATCATCTCTCCATGTCAGAATGATGAGATCTGATTAGTCCATGTGATCTTGATAAAATACTGTGTAACCTGCCTTGGAGGGGAATAAATTTCTCAGCGGGAGAATAAATCTCTTATACCCCGCCAGGAGCAATACAGGCTGCACGTGGATTTCTGAAAGGCAGAATAAATGCCTTATGCCCTGCTTTATAGCAAAAAGCCACAAGCTTTTTCTGATTCAATGGAAGTCATGTGAAGTTAACCTCAGCTCGATCAAACAGCTGTTTTCTATCAATTTGAATTTGTGTTAATTTCTTTACAATGTCACATTAAAACATGTCGGTAAGATAATTTTGTTGTATTAGAGCTGGGACGGGTAACTTGAGTACTTGGGCAACTATTTAGATACACATATAAAACGATCTGGTCGTGTATACATTGAAGTTCAGCCTTTATTCAAACCTATAAGTGAGTGAGTTTGATTTTACGCCGCTTTTAGCAATATTTTAGCAATATTTCTGGGACACCAGAAATGGGCTTCAAACATTGTCTTCGGCGTGATGAGCGTACGCTTTAATCACTAGGCAACCCGACCGCCCCTTCAAACCTATAAAAGTGAGAACGAATGGGTGCATAGTCAGAAAGAAATGCAAGCATTACTGACTTGTCGTGTAACTATAGAGTTCTGGATAATTTTGTCATTAAACAATATATCACGTGACAAACCATAGGTCCGGGTAGCCCTGTGGTTACCCGGGTCCTTCTCAGTACCCGAGTTACCCATCCCAGCCCTAATAGTCTACCCCATCCTCAATTATCCAGTGTACTACAGTCTGTGCCAAATACTTTTAAGGCTACTAGCCCGAAGTTGACATTAAGCAATATTGTTTGTACATTTTGATGTTATTATAAGACTTTCCAGCAGAGCTTACGAGGCCAACCAGAATCTTACAAGCCCCAGTTCTCAGACAAGTGGCGGAAGCCGTAGACTGGATATCTCCATTCTTTTATGATAAGCACCTGCACTCAATCACCACCATGACCCCATTTGTCTTATCCCAACTTAGCACAGAAACAACCAATCAAAATTAGTCGAGCATAGATACGAGTTCACTTCCCTGTGGGCACGAAACCCTAAATGAGAGACTGTTATCATGGTTATAAATTGTCTGTTAATTTTGAAAAACATGTTTCTAAGTATTGAGATGGGGGAGGGAAGTCCTTATGCTGTCTTATTGGTCCAGGGTATTTATCACAATAGAATGTAGATATAATACCCTGGATAACTGAGGATGAGTCTACCTCTGTGTATTATCCCTCTACGTTCTAGACAAGACACATGTCTACTTAACTCTTAGTGTTGATTGGGTAGACCAGTTGCTTCAGTTTCTGCTCGTCATGCCATAGGCGTTGGTTTTATTCTCGAAATAGGTACAATGTGGGAAGACCATTTCTGGGTTCCCCTGCCATGATATTGCTGGATTATAGCTAAAAGTGGCGTAAAACCACACTCACTCATTCATAAGAAGGATTGCTTTTGTTTGTGTGAGGTTGATTCGGATAAATGACAGTGAAGAATGACAAAGTAGATATTATTCATCATAAAACTTGAGTTATCATATTTCAGGGACCACAAGTATGTTGTTAGACCAGTAGTTTACATAAGAGGGTTCTGATGGGGCATACTGCTTAGCGTAAAACGACTAAAAAACCTATTGTAAACGTAAGATGAGTAAAATGTTTATTGTAAACTTGTCCCATTGCACTAAGTTGAAAAGCACGGAGCAAGGGACATAACTCTGTAAAAAAGTTAATATATGGCTCCAATTTTTGAACTGACTGAGATACTGACAAGTATCTCCCATATGAGCATGCAAACTTATATTCAAGTGATTTCAGTAATTTCTGAGAACCTGTCGCCATTTCACACAGTATCACTAAGTTGAAAAGCACAGAAAAATGACACAATTTTCAAACTCATTTAAGATCATGGCCAGTAATATCAGTGTGAAAAATTTCATTTCTCTAACTTAAATAGTTTTTGAGAACATTTGTCCTGTTTGAGAAGCAAAAGGATGGAAAGGAAGGACGGATAACTCCGTTCCTATATACCCTGCCTCACTTTGTTGTGGGGATAGTAAAGACTACCAATACTGACAAAAGGGCCAAAATTTTACTGGCCCACCCACCATCCCCCTACATATCAGGACCCTCATTGAAGATTCAAATGATTACCAAGTGTTAAGATCTGCAACACGTGTGCCACATTTCCACTTACAGAAACCTTGACCAACCATTAATCTGACCTCAGTATCTTGTTCATTCTGCTTGTTGTATTCACATGGGTTGTGAAACCCGTGCTGTTGTGTTCAAATAATAAAACCTGGAAATTATATTCTAGTTTCTTCTTTCATTTGTTGTTTAAAGCCACGATATTCCAGCAGAATGTTGGGCCTGTAAATAGTTGAGTCTGGACCAGACAACCCCATGACTGACTTCATGAGCAACATCTCACACCACCCGGGTACAGATCTGAGTTAGAATAGATCTTCAGGAACCCATGGCCCAGTCATCTAAGGCGCCGTCATTCCCTGTGCAGAGTTGCGTCACTTGGGCACACCAGAAACCTATGATTGTGGGTACAAATCCCAGTTTGCCCCAATTATGTTTCTAGGTTTGTCAGCACCATACCCGTGCTTGTGGGTTTCACCGAAGGGGTAAATGTCTGAGACCTGCATCACATCAGGCTTTCCTCCCACATTAAGCTGACATGCCATGATATAACTGGAATAATTCTTGTCATAAGAGGCGACTAACTGGGTCGAGTGGTCAGGCTCAGTGACTTGATTAATGCATGTCATCGTATCCCAATTGTGTACATTGATGCTCATGACGTCAATCACTGGATTGTCTGGTCCAGACTCAATTATTTACAGACTGCTGTCATATAGCTGGAATATTGCTGAGTGTGGTGTTAAGCAAACAACCAAACATACATCACATTGGGCAATCACATTTTGCTCAGATCTTCCTGGAGATCTTTGTATCAGAGTCAAAGACCTGATTTTAATGAGATTGTTGTGAGGTTGTGACATCATTCTTCTACCTTGGCAGCACAATGTCAGCAGAAGAATACAACAATGTATATCATGTATGTAGACAAAAAAATTAACACAGGAAAGAAGTGAGATTTCCCACCTTGTGCATGCACAAGAGGCCTGGGCAGCGAGATACTATTACCTGCACAAGTGATTATGAATACTGGTAGTTGACAGTGAAGAGGACTTCTGGTGAAAAAGATTTTTATGATGTGATGACAGCCAAAACAGGATTTCTGGAAATGATGTGATAGAGGTTTTGAATTCGCAGGAATTAAATTCAACACAATGTATCAAACATGAAACTTCCTTTCTGGTTTTATTTCATGTGGTCATACACCATTCATGTTTATTTACAGGGGTAAAAGTATGGTGTCAGGAACGTAAGTTTGATGTTAGTTGAGCACAAAATAAGGACACTATTTTGTCAACTCCACGTCAAAATGTCAACATAAGAACATTTCAAATCAACATATGCTTGAATCGATATATGTGCATACAATGTCTAACACGAGAACACAGACCTTTCCACTTCCTTAAAACATCTCTATTCTGATTTGAAAATCTGATAACTTCTAATTGATAGTATGAATTTCATTGACGACAACAGATGGGCAAGAGTGAACCAGAGCATATATTTCTCTCAAATTTTATGATTCGTTTTTCAATATTTATTCAAAAAGATTACATCACTGTTTATTATCTTGACAACTTAACAACATAAAAGTATGTTCTAATTGTCTTAAAGATAATTCCATGATTCTGTTATAATTAATAAAGTTGAATCACTGTAAACCTGATTCATTACAACTGGACATCACTTAATCAAAACAGACTGAATGAAACAAAGGTCATGAATCCCATAGTTCAACGTGGAGTTGATATTTTTGTAATGCCAGATGAATTTGTGAAACAGGGCTTTGTTTAAATCAATGACGATGCTGAATAGAGGTATTTTCAAATCCAGTCACCAGTATGTAGAACTATCTGATTTTTCTTGAAATTGCTCCCTGTAACTCAAGAGTTATCTCCCCTCCGAAATGGAGCCCGCTGCTTAGTCTTTGGCAAATCTCCTCATCACACGTCACAAGATACTGACACAGTAGCACTTTGAGGATGGAGACTTCAAACCTTTACCATCACCTTTGTCGTTATGTCATACTGAAATAGAAAAGATCATAACTGAATAATTCTTCATGCCATCAAAAAATACAATCAACCTGTCTACCAACATCCCACATCCCTGATGCAATGTACCCACCTGTCTACCAACATCTCCCATCCCTGATACAATGTACCCACCTGTCTACCAACGTCCCCCATCCCTGATACAATGTACCCACTTGTCTACAAACGTCCCCCATCCCTGATACAATGTACCCACCTGTCTACCAACGTCTCCCATCCCAGTTACAATGTACCCACCTGTCTACCAACATCCCCCATCCCTGATACAATGTACCCACCTGTCTACCAACATCTCCCATCCCTGATACAATGTACCCACCTGTCTACCAACGTCCCCCATCCCTGATACAATGTACCCACCTGTCTACAAACGTCCCCCATCCCTGATACAATTTACCCACCTGTCTACAAACGTCCCCCATCCCTGATGCAATGTACCCACCTGTCTACCAACGTCCCCCATCCCTGATACAATGTACCCACCTGTCTACCAACGTCTCCCATCCCTGATGCAATGTACCCACCTGTCTACCAACGTCCCCCATCCCTTATGCAATGTACCCACCTGTCTACCAACGTCCCCCATCCCTGATACAATGTACCCACCTGTCTACCAACGTCCCCCATCCCTGATACAATGTACCCACCTGTCTACCAACATCTCCCATCCCTGATGCAATGTACCCACCTGTCTACCAACGCCTCCCATCCCTGATGCAATACACTCACCTGTCTAACAAGGCGTCCCTCATCCCTGATGCGACTGCGGACGGCTGGTTGTCTCCTAATTTAAACACACTCTCTATGACTGACAGTTCTGTGGCTGTTGTGTCGAGACCGCAAAAAGCAATCCAGTCGTTGACCACAAGGCCTGCTCCTATGACGTCACTTCCTCTGTTTACGGTCCCTGCCTGGAAGATGAGTCATGACGAGATCAATATTGGTCCTGCTTCTAAAGTCATAATGCTGCTTTCATAATAACCACCCTATGACAACAAAAGAGTTAAATGGCTACACTGTCAATGCCAACATACTTGATTTAGGAGAATAGTAGAAGATTTATAGCAAAGCACTTCTCTTGCTCAAGCTGATAGTATCCAACATAATCTGACCTCATCAAGTGATGCCGTATGCTTTAACCACCCATCTTCCCGACACAAGGGAGTTAACTAACAACAAAAGTCCAGTTCCCACCCTAGGCTGGAATTTGCAGGCTCGATCGTAGCGCCACTAGCGGCTATTATGAGTTATGTCCCTTTTATGTTGCTCCTATTAACCAATCAGATTCCAACACTCGTATCACTTGCACTTGCTTCAAACAAAATGGCGGCACCCAGTCAATACGACCTGATCGATAATCAAGATCTATATTGTAATAAAACGGTTCTTACGCCGCGAAGTGCATCAAATTACTTGAGCACATTTATTAGAAACATGAAAAGCAAATCCCGTACATGTTGAAATCCATGTAGTTCTTTACGCGATTTTGATTGGATTATCCATAGATTTGTTAGTCCAGCCAAAATGTAACTCTGGAATACCAGCCTCATTCGGCAAGGGTGGGGAACTGGACTTTTATAGTCACTTAACCCCCTTGCCTCAGGAAGATGTTAACTACCAGGCTACCCCACCACCCTGACCTCATCAAATACCGACACCTTTCTTTTTTATTAAATAAATAACATAGGATTATTCTTGCTTCTCAAAGACCATGCCATCAGTAAAATGCATAAATAAAACCATCTTTTTTTTCTGCTGACAAAATAAGAAACACTCCCGAGTAGCAAAACCGAAAAACAGCCAATGATGTCATGATTTTAGATTTGTAGTTTGCTCACCACCAAAGGAACTTGTAACAAAGAAGACAATTCATCCTGATCTTCTACTGAGGTTTTAGGGTGGACCTGAAAAAACAACATACAAATCTTCAAAAATCATCAGTGAGACACTTGTACGACCATTAGCTCCCCATATAGCCTTGTTTATCAAGTAACGGCGGCATAGTTTCGGCCTGGTTATTGCCCACAGGGTAGATGACACTAACTCAGCTGTTGTGGACCCCTTTTCCACATTTACTCTACGCATATATCATTCGGCACTGAAATTAAAGGGCCTGAATCTACTATAGTGGTCAAGATGTATGTTCTGAAATCTGAAAAAACATCTTACCAGGCCTCCCTGGTTGCTGAAGGAACAATAGCTGCCAACAAGGACATTTCCTGCCAAGGTTTGACGAAACACTTCAACTTTCAGCGTGTCGTTGATGATTTCTTCTGTCTCCTGAAATAAATACAAAGACTTAATGTTGTTTGTTTGTTGTTTAACGCCGCACTCAGCAATATACCAGCTATATGATGGCGGTCTGTAAATAATCGAGGCTGGACCAGACAATCTAGTGATTAATACCATGAGCATCAATCCACGCGATTGGGATCGATGACATGCTTTAACCAAGTCAGCGAGCCTGACCACCCGATCCCCTTAGTCGCCTCTTATGACAAGCATAGTCGCCTTTTACGGCAAGCATGGGTTGCTGAAGACCTATTCTACCCCGGACCTTCACGGACAAGACTTAGTGTACATGTTCTGGGTGCCATTGTACATGTGTAAATAAGCACAAAATATATGATTCAGAAAGGATGAAGAGATAAAAACTTAATGCATGCTTGCTCAACTGTGGCTGCTAATTCTTTCAAAGGGCTAGTGTATGTATGGGCCCTTGTCACGGGCTTCTTCACAGCAAAATCAATTTTTACATCATTTTCAATAATTCTGGGCTTCTCCCTATACCTCTATGACAATACTAAATGAAATACACCCAAAGTGTTGTGAAAAATGTGATGAAAGCCAATTCATTAATTCATTGTCTCACTTATAGTCAATTAAGTAACTGCAGTCTCCGACCTGGGCTACTTTCATTTTGGTCTTTTAGGCTCTGCTGAGGACAGGAGACGGACGAAATGTAACTTGAAAGTGTCAAATCAACTGAATATATGTGGTAGGTAAATTTTGGGAAGTAGATTCAAAGCTTACAAGTAGAAATAGACTTTGTTCATCGGGACAAGTACATTTACTTCTAGCCCATGTTTATATTAGTGAGTGAGTGAATGAGTCGTGTTTAACGAAGTTTTTAACAGTATTCCAGTTATATCACGACGTGTCAGCTTAATGTAGGAGGAAAGCCCGAAGTGATGCAGGTCTCAGACGTTTACGGTTTACCACTTCGGTGAAACCCACGAGCATGGGTATGGTGCTGACAAACCTAGGATCATAATCGGGGCAAACTGGGATTCTCTGCAGAGCAAATTGCGGCACCTTAGACGACTGAGCCACCCGTAGACCCATGTTTATATTCATAGAAAAGTAAACTGAATGTAATGGGGGATACACTCTACCATGGGGGATACACTCTACCATGGGGGACCACTGTTTGTAAAAGGAATAGACCCAAGTGATGCAGATTGTAGACTTTAACACTTTCGTGGAAACCATAGCTTGCAGACCAAACATCATAACAGGAGCAGAACTAGTGATCTGTGACTTATACCAATATCTATCATATCCCTAACATCTTCATCACTTCATGGGTTCCCATCCACCAGTTCCTTCCATCACCTGTGAATACCTACTGCCTCTGTGTGTTCTAGTAGCTAATGATATCAAGCAACTGCCTTGATCTAGTGAGTGCTCCAACCAACGAAATCTCAGATTACATCGGCAATGTTGTACATGCAACATAGGCCATAGCCATGTGGCCTCTAGGCTAAGCATTGCTCCAATATAACGGTAGAGTTGATCCAAAATTGATGCACGGATTGGGTCTCATTTGATTTCTGTGAGTTATACACAGCCTAATTTAATACCAAAAACAGACGTGCATCACTATTACACTGCACAGCAACCTTATCCTTATGTCTTCATGGGTGATGGAGGAACACAATGTGTACAAAGCCATGAAAAATCTACAATGTGTGCCCAGTTATGAGTGAGTGAGTTGGGTTTAACGCCGCTTTTAGTAGTATTCCAGTTATATCGCCGTGTGTCAGCTTAATGTGGGAGAAAAGCCCGAAGTGATGCAGGTCTCAGATGTTTACCACTTCGGTGAAACCCACAAGCACGGGTGTGGTGCTGACAAACCCAGAAACATAATCGGGCCGAATCGGGACTCGAACCCACAATCATAGGTTTCTGGCGAGCCCAAGGGACACAACTCTGCAGAGCGAATCGCAGCGCCTTAGACAACTGGGTCACCCGTGTCCCCTGTGCCCAGTTGTAATAAGTACTGGTGTTTATTTTCACCAAAGAAAACGAAATCATACCCTATCTAAATCTGGATGAACTAACGCAACATAGTCATTACAGGCAGCCACATTGCCAAGGGCAGACAACCTCTCCTCTACTCGCTGAAGTTTCACGGAATCTGGCAAAGCATTTCTGATGTGCTGAAGTTCCTGATCTGTTGTAGAATTTGGCACCAGTAGACCATGCCTATTGCCTGGAAAGAAAGAAACACATGTTGAAAAAATCTGTGGAATTCTTACAATAAAATACTTTTTGCAAACTGTGCTGATCAAGCACACTTGACAGTGTTCAAAACTAACGTAAGGTGAGGTGAGGTGAAATGGGATTTAACAACTCGTTCAAGATTATTGCCGAGAGAGACAGTTCTTATTTGGTCCCCTAATTCCAAACACTATGCAGCCACAGTAATCAGTACCATCTGTTTATGTCTTTTGGTATGAGACGACCGGGGATCGAACCAATGACCACCAATCTCCCTATGACACTCTCATCAACTAGACCATGCAGGCAAAAATACAATGGACTCAAAGGGTTGGAGAAGATCACTTTGTGACATACACTCACACTTTGTGGTGATGTGATCATGATGATTGAACTTGCAAAATTATACCCAAAAATATTATATAGGCCACAAGTTCTGACAATAGACTCAAAGAGTTAGAGAAGATTACTTTTTTATATGTACAACAAAAGTTTGTGGTAATATAATTGAACTTGCAATATCAAAGAATTATACAAATGCAGAACAAATTCAGACAATGACGATGGCTACCTACCAACACACATCCTTCCTATGATACGGCATCCTGATAAACTGGCATGAATGACTGGAACTGATTCTGACAATTCCCCTTCAAACACACTGAAAATGAAAACGTTTGTATATTGCAATGTGATACTTCATAAGGGAATACACTGGACTATTGGCAGTCTTGGCAAGGTTTGCTTTCAAAAAAAGATTTTCTGCTAAATCGATTCAATAGATGATGTACAACAATCTTGCAGTTCATGACTTTTTAATGATTAGAATAACTATGCACACTATATCTCAGTTTTACACACAGCAGCAGTTTTGTCAAAGGCACCAAACTATGCTCAATAATCCTTACACTACAAAACGTTGAGCCCATTTGGGATTCGGGGTTAGAACACGTCCCCAGCAACCTATGGCTGTCGTAAGATGTGACTGCTTGATTTAAGTGAGCAGACAAAATTGGTAAAACTGCCAGTAAAGGCAGTATATTTCCTTCACGTGTAAAATATTTCTGCACTTCTCACCATGATCACAGGGAGTCTGACATAATCTGATAATTGCACATACATGTAATCACATGGCATACAACCATTGTTTCGGTTAAGTTGAATTCCACAGTTACAACTTTGAATCAATTCTTCAAATTCACTTCTTCAATTCAACACAACAAACAAACACAAACAAGTGGAAATCACAGATGATTTGGTGTTATTTAACTTTTGGTTAATTTGCCATGAGCTTAGGTGTAATTACGGAGATCCACATGGGGTTTCTAAAACTAAATTGTCAATTACTAAGACTGGATCAGTGTTGTGTGATTCCATCTATGTTACTTCACATGCTAGCTCACCTGTAGAAGTTTTCAGAGCCCCCGATTCCAACTAGACAGTAAGCATTTGTCAGCTTTGAGAAAACCCCGATCTCGTTATTTCCTTCGAACTGAGCACGTACAGCCATTGCTATGAGCTAACTGAGCACGTGTTGAGTCTATATACTCAAAACAAGATTGTGCAATTCCAGTATAAATAGATGGCAAACGATTTGATATTTCCAAACGTGGTGTTCACACCATGCTTTGCAGTTGTGCAACATGTGCAAAACGTCACAATATATGGGTATGACGTTGAGAATTGTGTGTTGCTGGATTTAGTCAAAAGTTGGAGTTCCCAACAACGAATTATGAAAATATGTCACAAGTTTGTTATTGAATAGCTGATTTGGTGTAATCTATTTTATTCTTATAGTGTCGTGATAATCATTTCTTTCAACTTTCATATGGCAAGGTTTAAATATGCGTTTTGGGGTCACGTCGTCAACTGCTGGAAGTGTTTGAAGCGACCCATAAATACCTCATAGTGTGCCCAAGGGACGGAACTTGGGTTACATGTTAACTGCGCCCTGCCTCTGGTTTCAAAATTTATTTACTTGTTTAGGAAAATTAAATACTACATCTATTCAACATTGAGATTTCGAGTAACGAGGCATCCCATTGCGTGGATTTTATTTCAAACCGCCAGGGTGATAGTTTATAAACTATGTTTCCATATTTCGCCTTTGTCCTTAACTGTATCTTTAGGTTGGATTGGGTTTTTTTGGTTTTTTTCTTTTACTATTTTTAAAAAGAAGTAACTGTTACATAAAATGTGCTTCCGCCCAGGGTAGCAGAAAGCCCATGACATATAGCACAACTTATCAGTACATCTTAGTTTTTTACAGAAAATAACATACTTCTCACTCACACATTCACTCTAATAATTCGAACATACTGCATAAATCAATTATGCATTAACTATTTAAGTTTTTATATCATAAGTAAAAAAGTATCAAACTAAAGTTTAAATGAAAGCTGTTCTTCATTTTCGAAAAGTTGATGATACAGCATTCAAGCACCATAGAATTTCTGTTGATTACCTGTCTTGAAAGCAATATCTTTTTCAATGTTGTATCGTTAAAAAGCTCCCTTTTTATAAACATGAAAATTAGGTTTTATATTTTGGAATTAGCATCTATAAATAAAGAATTTTGCCATAAGTAAAAATAAATCGAACATTTTATCTGTCTTAATGATCTCTTTAACTCCAAAAAGTATCAATTCTGCACAAAATGTCATATTATTGACATAGAGCACTGGTCTATCCACACTGACACTTCATCCTAAAATCGTTTTATTACATCACATTCCCCAAACAAGTAAGTAATTGTTTTCTTTTCATATGGATATCCTCACCAAGCAGATTAACAAACTATGCAAACACAAGGTAAGGAATCAAACCTCCACCGAACTCCCTCCACCCGTCGTATAAATATTGATCGTTTTTTTCTGGCCGTGTCATAGTAAGTGTATCAGTTTGTATTTTGTTGCAATTTTACTAATGTATTTAATTCAAACAAATAGTATTGACTTCCAGGAGACCCCAAAACACAATAAAACAATACGGAATAAAGTGAAAATTACAGAAATAGCAGAAATCCGAAGAAAAATATTGTTATTAGTGCATCTAGTGTTTCAAACGAAATTACAAACCATACAAAAATGTAAAAAAAGAAAAGAAAAAAAGTTCAAAACCATCCACCTCATCACACACGCACTGTGTATCCCATTCATATCCTTCTCTTTCCCCCCGCTAGAGATTAATCAAATTCCCCCTGTCTCCACACAATTCTATAACCGCTGTGTTTGTATGCACTTGGGAGCGAATCCCCTAAATTAATAGGCTAAAGTCGATACAGGCTACGAAGCCATGTACAACAACGGCTTCAATGACGCTCTGATATGTTGTGTGTGTGTTTACTCTATCGAGAGAAACATGATTGAGCTCTTAGAAAAATATTCGTTACGGGTTTGACTTCCTGTTCGGGAAAATTATACCATGAAACGAATTCCATGATACCGGAAGAAAATTTGAGACATCGAGTGTTGGAATTTGCAGCGACGTGTATTGTTACAATGCGGTTGTTAATTGTGTGCGACGTAAGTTGCAATGCTGGCGTAAGGCGACTTATTTGCTGTATTAAAATAATCCTATAGAATTGTTGAGTGGGGGAAGATGACTTAGCTTTTTCTGTCGGTTATAATAATAATAATAATAATCATCATCATCATCATAACAACAACAACAATAAGAAGAATAATGCAATTTGAAAATATCACTCTTATTAAAACACATCTAAAAGAATATTTAATTTCATGTCATTTCTCTTACTGGTTTGGTGGAATTTTAATTCAAATATCTATACATGACAGCGGGAAATATATCCTACTGAGATAAACGCGGAGTTATGTGTAATTACGGAACACGAAGAATATAATCATAATAATAATATTTTGTAGGTATTTATAACATTCAGATTTGCTTCAGATTTCTCACGATGTATATGTGTATGTAACGAATTCACGTTTTAGGATATGTGTTCGCCTATTCAGTTTTAACTATTTTTGTCTTTGATCTTGAGGTTCTTACTCACATTCTCCGATGTCTATGTTTAGAAAGTAAAACACGCGTTAATCTCACTCAAAGGAAAACATCCGATGTGTTCAATATTCAAGTGTCTGACTTTGAATAAACCGTACATATATCATTCTGTAAAACATTACAACTCGCCTGTTATGAAAACTAGGAATTCCCAAAAGCGAAACACGTGCTGTCTCCCGGTCTTCTCTACATATTGTGAAATTATGTTACACCATGCAATGCACCTGATGGTCCCATTTGAGTGGAATCGACCTTCGTTTTTACACCTCATCTCCAGAATTTCACACAAACAAAACGGAGGAAACATTATCGATATGGTCGAGCCAAGACAGATGTAAAATTCTTAAAATCATTTAAAAAGTTGAATTAGACCAAGAGCGCGATGATGCTATGTTATTTGTACTTAAGAACGTGTTTGCCCATATTTGGATGTTTAAAAACATTATTTAACAGTTATTAGTGAATAGAGGCCGAATAAACATGTTAGCGCGTCCAATGTTTCTCTTTATGACGTTTTTATCAACGTTTTTGAAGAACTTGCGCTAAACTGGGTGTGAAATATACACAAAGAAAGTCCGTCAAACGCGAAGCGGTATGCTTCATTAAGTTCTTTACCATCTTCCAATTGATACGGCCAAATTGGTTTTTCTTGAAGCTTAAAGAAATTGTAGTCCTGTCTTAAAATGGACTAACTATTTCAGTGCTTGGATAGAAGTAACCTATTGCACAGTTATATGCAAAATAGGCGTTACATACGTTAAATGTATCAAAATATATTAAAAACATTCAATTAACTTCACACGAATTTTAAATTAACCGATTTAAAACTATGCAAAGATGTGCTAGTTTACCAAAGACATGCATACTGTGACTGCCTCAACTATAACATGCAAATTTCGTCCAGTTCAGAAATATGTAATTTACAGTGGCCCGCAGATTTCTGATACCATGCGGGCATTTGTTATGGTAATTCTGTCCACTTTGGCTATTATAGCTGCTTAAACGTTTACATTTAGTGCATTATATATTCCATTGTTGACATTTGTGTTTATATTAAAGCGTTGTATCGGAAACATGTGTACTAGTCCTGTAAAGTTTTCATTTTGACATGACATGTGCGATAAAGATACCAAATTGTGTAAAATTTTCGGTAAAATACGTTCATTATGGTGTCTTTAGATGCCATATACGGTGTCATATAAGGTGAGCAGAATAAAAAATTGGGAGAGGCGACTACACCATAGCTTATAATTTTCTGCACGTACATGTACGTACATGTAGATACATTCCTGTCAAATATAATCTAAAACCATGGTCTGGTTTGTTATCCCGTCAAATTGCACAGGAAAAACATTCTACAAACAGAGAAGTTGCCCAATACCCATCAGACACAAATACAGAGAAACACGTAATGCGGTCTAATATCCTATAAAGAGTTTGATGCTAATTGTCCACGAATGTACAGCCATGTTTCCAGAACGTGCTTAACTCCAACATGTTAGGTTTACGTTTGAGTAATAACTTTTTCATCCCAAGCAAACGTGACATAGATTTTTTTTTCTGTCACTTTCGGTGTGGTTTATCTAACGCCGGGATTTACCCCTAACACTATCCCCGACACAGCCGGAACTAGACTGTGGCATGCGTGCCTTTGGGGACCAGAGGTGATTTCATAAACACAAACAATGCAGGGAGAATTAAAAATCTACTGTTGTTTGTGTTTTACTTAGACGTTAATGGGTGTTACATGACAAATTTGTTTATCTTACTGTCTTCGTTTGTGAAACACCTTCTGCGTATAGATGCAGGTTCAGGTTGATTAAAATATGTTTTATTCATTACGACAACGGGTCGATGTAATGCTCCAAATATTTTTTCTTCTGAATGTTTGTATCCAGACGTTTTCCCCGTATTTTAACGGTTCTACTTGCTAGAGAATCATCAGCAAAATGAATAGGCTAAATATTTTGTTGTTGTGGTGTAGTGTAGTGTAGTGTAGTGTAGTGTAGTGTAGTGTAGTGTAGTGTAGTGTAGTGTAGTGTAGTGTAGTGTAGTGTAGTGTAGTGTAGTGTAGTGTAGTGTAGTGTAGTGTAGTGTAGTGTATCAATGAATTTCAATTAATTGGCGTGCCGAAACATCGCGTTGAAAGAATAAAAACTCAAAATTCCATGTCAACTTTGTCTTCGCGAGCACAATATAATCCATATGATTAGGTGATATACGAACTAATGAATTATTTGGAGATAAATACAGTATCTACCTAAGACTGAACTTAGTTGTCTTGGAAATAATCAATAAAAACAATGAGTGAAGGAAATATGACATTTTAGAATAATGACGAATGATTTGGTTTGTTTTGCTTCATTTTATAGATATAAACATCATTATTAAATTGTTTTAATAGCTATTTTATATCAGTGCGCGTAGATTGACTATTTGAACCGTCCCTTTTTCTTTAACCTGTGAAAATTTATGAATATATATTTACCTAAGTAACCCCTGTCCGATTTGCAGGTGTTGTCACGGAGATACACAGCTATAAACAAGCGGCATGGTTGAATGAGTGCTTACTCCTTTCTTTTATTCCGCCCATTTAGAAATCAATGATGCCTATTTATAAACAGAAGTGACAAATAAAACTGTTTTCATTTTAACAGCAGTTTATTGTATAAATAATGCATATCACAGCCGTATCCTTACATACAGTTAATAATTTCCCCTCACGTCCGCGAAAGGAAACTTGTCAATATTCCCTTTTTCTGGATTATTATTTTGATAGGATCTTTCGTAGGCGATTTGTATTGAAAGTGTCACGCTGGTATCACGATTATTATTTACATGTGCGATTTTATTAAAGTATAAGATTCATCAATACTTGGCGACCCTTTAATGTTAATACGAGACCGTGAGGCACTGATGGTGAGCTACAAAGAGAACCAAAATCACACGAAACCTTGAACATGAAAATAACTAAAATTCGAAATATATGATTTGTCATACAGAATTTTCACACCAGAAATCCGATATGCATTTTTTTTCCAGAGATCATATGGTCACTGGTTCAACGAAGTGTCAACTACATTAAATAAATTAATCAATAATATTAAATGTCCATTACGCTTTATGAGTCTTTATAAAACGATCTCTGACAAAACTAAACGTGTAATGTCCCCAAATCTTATCCTCCCGTAATATTAACGACAAAGGCACGGTTTGACGTGCCCATTATTTGTTCAAGCATGATCTGTATTTGTACGAAACAGACTATAGTTGGGCTCATTTTGTGGTGAGAGTTACTTGCCCCTTGTACTGTCTGGCAACCGGCAGATAGCACGCGCAAGTTCGCTGGCTGGATGGTGTCGCTATGATAGAGTCATGGCGCTCTACGGCAAGTCCGCAATGGATAAACTCATAGGAAGCGATCATTTCTCATTATCGGATCTTGTGAAAAGTTTTAACAATGCCATAAATGAAGAACAGGCATGGGCAGTGTGTTTCCAATGTGCCCAATTTTTTCTCCGGGGGCAACCCCAAGAAAAGTACCAGGATTTGTACATGTTCGGGAGCCAAGCATTACGACTTTCAAAAGATGGTGAAGTTGTCATTGATTGTCAGTCATTAACAAGCAAAGGATCGGGTAAAGGCCCACCTGACAGTAAGTATTATTTTGATTGCCACCGAAAACGATGTTTCTTTCAGTGTGACATGCTACGTATCTCATACCGAGATTCGGCGAAGTGGTGAAATTGACAAGCTAATGTCGACGTTCGTTTGTCCCATAATCCCGCACACTGCAACTCTGGCAGTCAGCATTCCGCCAATATCGATCGGTACAAATAATGGTATCAGATTTCGGCCTGTGTCCTACATTGCAACAGATAGTCTGAGATATATGCACGTATCTAAACGAAGACACCACGAAGACAACGGTGTCTGTATTCAACCGTTCAGTGTTCGAATATTGTTTAATAGGTCATAGATACATTTTATGATAGACAGCATAATAAGATGTCAGATGAATGATTTTGTAAGTAATACCACTTGGATGATTTTAGTATTTTTATTTAAACAAAACGATACTAGCCTTCCAAGAGGGATACCTGGAGGTTCCTATAAATATATATAAATGCAATACTGTAGAGTTCTACTGGTGACTGTCGGCAATGTCGCATAGGCCTTTCTTTTTAACATCGTTTTTTTCTTAAAACAACACCCTTTTGCTTCTCTCATTGATTTGTTCAATCATTTAGAATGCTGTATTGAAATAAAGTATATTACTATTTGAAATATTACCGTTTTTCTAGCTGACTAATCTGAGAATATTGAAGGTTCCAAGAAATGTTGATATCAGATCACAAGATAGGATGCAAATATGTCATAACAGGATTGGAGATATCGCTTCTCTTTTATTTGAATCATCCCTTTACAGGTTAAGTTATGACAAATTCACGTTTCAGCCTTATCTTAAACATAAATTCCTCATGGATGATCAATGACAACAAAAGCATGTCAATTTCTCAGGGTACATCCTCGGATGAAACAATAATTATGTCATGAAATTGCAGTGACGTTTCAATTAGGCGTGAAACACATTGTCCATTTTCCAATTACCAGTTCAATTACCATTCAACATGTCTATATTGTGATAACTGGTTAGACCAGCTTCCCTCAACATCCCAGGCAATTACAGTAGTGAAGGTTTAAGGCCCTATCGTGATTATGTCATAGTTAACGGACACCCCTTGGGGGTGTGTGAACTACTGTCTCGTGCCTTGAGGGGCCAGTAAGCAAGGTCTCGTTAAGGTGTTCCTCTGAAGTAATTGGAGTGTCCTTAGCTTAATTATGAGAACCTTTAAAAATACATTATAAGTGTACTTAAAAAAGAAATTAATTTTACTTCTTACTGAATGGTTATGTACCCATGCTGTTGATATTTTTTTCAGTATGTAAAGTAATTTTTTAGATGATTTAAAAAAAATGTAAATAATTTTTGTTTCATAAAATATATCGATAGACAATAATATTATGCATAGAAAACAGCTATTTTATAAAACTCTGTGATGAATGCAAACAACACAACCATTGGAGTTTTCGAGAGGTCCATGTTCTGACCCTAATGCTGAATGTTAGAGATTGAAGGCGTCCCTATTTTAGAATGCTATAGGAGCAAACTTCAAGAATCCCTGAACCCTGCATAACCAAATCATAGAATTTGCTGTCACAAATGTTTAAATAAGGAAAAGGTACAGAAATGAACATGACAGTAAAAATTATATTTTTGAACACATCATTGGACCTTTTGGTGAAAACAATCAATAATTTTTTTAAAGATTAATTGTGTGTCAATAATTACATGTGTTTTCTCCATTGATCTTTATTTTCACACAACAATCTCCCACTGTTGAAAGATTCAGCCTGTTGTTAGACCAGGTGTGTTTGGTCAAGCTCTGTAATTAATTTGATTAATAAATATAAAATAAACAGTCTTTTGTCCGAAATTTCAAGATCATGTCAGTGTGACATAGTATTATGCTCAACATATTTAAGGGATAATTTTGTGTGCATGTGATATTGATCAGACATTTCGTCCAAACATGGTTGTACATATGTATGTATGTTAGGTTTGATGAGACCCTGAACTGTTCCCAGTGGTAGAGAACTTGCACTATTTGCAATTAATTTGGTTTAAGCAAATGACAAGGTTGCCCAAACAACCACAGACAGTTAAAAAAGGGTAAAATATACTTTCCTCCATTTCAAGGCTGCGACAAGTCCACATGTCTGTTAGCTCATGGCTAATGGGAAAGCATCAGAAAACACCAGCTTGTGAATCTTCTTGAATAGTTTTTGTTAACAAGTATGATGTTAGTGATATATGATAACATGAAAACAATCGTCAATGTGTTTATGAGGTTCTGTGAAGATAGACTAGCTTACAGTTTTGAAATATCAGTAAAAGATATTCCACCTACCATCACTAAAAAAATATATATAAATAAATATAGACAAAAACAGTGACACAACCCTTTCCATAGTGATAATAAGAAATCTCTCAAAGATGATATAAATATTCCCAAAGTTTATTCACCATACTGTGGGCTATCCCGTTTCATAAGTCCTACTGCAGTATTAGAGGCTTCAAACATTAATGTCTCCCTACCACCATTTCCTTTTGTTCAAGCTGTCACGTTTTTCCTTATTGCAATCTTGCAGTCAATATTGTTTCGTTCATATACTTATACATTGTTTGTACTTCTAAATAGCTAAAAGCACACCCACACATGAATATATATATAACACCATTAATACAGGTGCGTGAATAAGTTTCTGTAGGTTGTACAAAGCAGATACGTGTGTAGAGTTAGGTGTCGTCCATTCAAGCGAAAATGGCGTTGCCTACGGCAGGTGAAACGAGAATACCCACTCATCCTGTTCATTATTTTCAAGGATAGTTGAGTCATTGAGTCATTTTATGATCCTGAAAGGGGGAAATTCATAAAGAATGTGAATCGGTTCTGTTTGGATATTTTTGGGGGAGCAAATAAATAGGAAGCCATTTTGAAATGTCTTTATCTTTCTTTGATCTTGATGAAGCTGTAGATTGAATATCCTTGATATAGCCCAGTATGACAAGCAGAAAGGACTAGGTGACCTGTTAAGGGTGAAAATGGGTGGTTTGACCCATCCCTTTTCTAATAGGGGTCTTTCTTGAGGAGTCTGAAGGTTGCAATTTGATGTGAAAGTTGAACCATGCTTCTTAATTAGATACTACATAGTTATTGGTTGGCTGAAACACAGCACCTTTGCTATACTAGTGCTTCTTAGAGACTGTCTTTTATAAATTACTACTTACTTGACCAACTGACCGACTTTGTGGTCTAGTGGTAGAGCGTCCGCCCGGAGAGCAGACGGTCCGGGGTTCAATCCCCGGCCAGGTCATACCAAAAGACTTTTAGAGATTGTACTTACTGTTACCCTGTCTGGCGCTCGGCATAAAGGGGCTAAAAGAAGGACTGGTTGGCTCAGAGTCAGTATATACATACACTGTGTCTGAGTGGGGTATTCATGTTAAAACTGCGGTATGGTATCTTAGTGAGCTAACACTATAAATCAGCATCAGTCGGAACTAGTACAAGCAGCCACACAAACACATGCATGCATGTTGCTATATGAGTGCAAGAATCTTGGATGCAACTTAAACCCAATTTCACCTCACCTCACCTACTTCACCAACTCACCAAACGTTTCATTTTGCTGGGGTATTGCCGCTATGGTATTGGAATCTAGGGACTCCCTAAATCTTGAACTTGTAACATCAGGGTTATAACAAGGACCCCTTGGCCATGTTATCTTCATGCTTGGAAAGACATCCGCACATATCCTCCCTCCCAAAGTTATATATGTATGCATTACCGCTCAATTCTTTTGATCATATATATATTTTTAGGGGGAATACGCGTGGAAGTCTTACCTCATGCTAACTTCAATCACTGTTTCAACTGTGTGGGTGGAATTCTGAATTCCATAAATGTGGCTTTTTACTTCAAATACTGATGTGATAAAAAAGAGAAGAAGATTCATATAGATATAATCATTTTGTTTGAAAAAGATATTGAAAATATAGTTCTTTTTGTTTAATGCACATCTTGTAATTCCCTTGTCTTGTTTCCCAGATAGTTCTAAACCTATTTGCGCAGAGCATTTGTTAAAGCCCAAGAGAGTTAAATTCCGTAAGCTTTTGCCATTTGTCCACATAAATTATGATGAAGATGTATGAGTGAAAGATGTAGGTGACCGAAATGTTAATGGTGCTGTGGTTTGTGCGAAGTATATTAATAAGCAAGGTGTCCATCACTCCTCCAACTCAGACCCCTCTGGTATCCATGTAATGGGGAAATAGGTAATAGTTGGTGTGTCAAGTTGAGTTTGCCTTCAATGTATCACTATTTAGACTCTATTTGTTAATTTTCCAACACAAATCCCTGTAAGGTCAAACAGGTGTTTGCAGCTGAACAACCTTTAGTTCATGCAAAGGTTAAGGAAGGTTTTCCCATTCTCAGTTATATACTCCTGTATTATTACTAGAAATGTATTGTCAATGTTTACAAATCTATGTCAGTCTTACAACAGAAAATTATTGGAGTAATGGAACTGAATGGATTGGTTGTTATCTTAAAACAACATATTCCCAGAAACACAGAATGATATCCATCTGCCATCTATGCATGCTAAACATAGTCCATAATAATTCAGTATTCATGGTATTCTATCCATATATGATTTACCATATGTTGTTTTTAAATATGTTTAAAGTTTTTAATTTTTTTTGTGTAAATATGTTGTTTTTACATTTTCATGTTACAACTGTTCTTGAATAATTTGTATATGCAAAGAAATATGATCTTGTTTTACGATCATATATAATACCATATAATTCTATGATACTGCCCCTATTAATATTTGTATTCCAAACCTGCTTTGAACTTGCAATGAGAAGGATTTTTTATACGACAACTCATTTGAGTATTGATAGGACCAGAATATGTTTAGGATTATGAATCAAGAAAAGGCTTTAGAGATGCATATAGATATAAATTTGAATGAGACTACTCCTGTTCTTTACCGTGCCATGCATGAGCTACAAAATGTACTTGT